TCCCTGGGGAGACGTAATGTATTCCACTCTCAGTGGAAGAGAGATGGGAGTGAATATTTGCTGAACAACAGTCTAAATAAACTATCATATTACCCCCAAACTATTAAACCCACACGTTTATTAACTGCCTCATTCTTAAATATAAAAGGATAGCCAAGTATTACCCTGTATTTGAGGAAAACCTACACCATAATGGAGAGTCCAAATCAGATAAACAAGAAAGGAACCTGGAGGAAACTGAGGCAACATATAATGAGCAAAGGAAAACATTGAAATACTGTATATTCTAATAGGTAAGATATTATATTCATAGATTAAAATTAGCATGCTATGTCAAAAAGTGTCAATAAAAAGAAATAGCTCATAGAAATACAAAAGGAGTAGAAAATTTTCTTAACATTCAAAATGAGGTGTCATCAGTCAAAGAAATCTTTCAGAAGTTACAATCAGAAGACAGAGATGGAAAAATATAAGAAAATGAGATAATCAATCCAACAACTAATGTCCTGGAGCTAAAGTGTATGGCATCAAAATATTTTAAAATAGTAGAAGAAAACATTCTCAAAGTGAAAAAAAATAAGCCTTCAGATTGAAAAGGACTCACTGAAAACTCTGCACAAAGAATGTAAAACAGCTCCATTCCAGGATTCAGCATTGCAAAATTTCAAAATGACAAGGAAAAAGAGATGACTGTAAAAGTTTCCAGAAAGAAAAAAATATAAATCATAGACCAGGTACTAAGAATCAGAATGGTACAGGGTTTTTCAGTTGTACTATTAGGATCTAGAAGACAGTGAAATAGTTATTAAAAATCCTGAATGAAAACTAATTTCAAAATAGAGTTTTATACCCAGCCAAACAATCAAGTGTATGCATACAGTAATACCATTTTCTGGCATGTGAATACTCAAAAATGTGTTTTTCGTGTACTTTTTCTTATGAAAGCTACCTGGAGATAGCTTTCATACCAAAAACGGGAATAAATTGAGAAACATGATGACTTATGACCCAGAAAACAAAGAACTCTGAAAGAGTATGGAGAAGGCTTGACACAAGATAGAGATCAACCAGGCCATACATAAGGTGCCAAGAGGGATATATCCAGAAAATTTTTTTTAAAAGAACTTATACTTTATCTAATATGTTTGGTTATTTGAAAAAAGTACTGTTGATGGTTGTTTAACAGATATGTTTGAATATTTGGGGGAAAATGTCAGTTATCTAGAAAAACAAACTATTAAAAAACTAGGCAATTTTTTAAAATTAATTCTAGAAATAATAAAATGATATGTAAGAAAGTTAATTTAAACAAGAGAATGCTTTTCTCAGTAGTGAGCAAATTTTTCATAATCATTATAATGTAAATGAACTACTGACTAATGCTTTAACCAAAATCATTATATGGGAGCATGAGGTGGGTATGTAGGGTGGGTGGTACGAGACCTAAATTGTCACCCTTCTTCCCATAAGAAAGGTCTAATATTGAAAACTTAAGAAATAGCAATATAAGTTTGTCTTTTAAAAATATGAAGATAAACATCAGAAGAGCTAATGGTGTGTGCCATTGGAGATTAGGTTTGAAATAGGGAAGGTAGGTCATGGGCACTGCTGTTCCTTGTTATGAGCCATTTAGTACTATGTGACTTAAATTAGGTGCATTACTTTGATGGGCAAATTTAATCAACAATAAAAATAAACTTACATATGCCCATGATTAAGAAAAAAACTTCCTACAGTGTGGAGGGATATAAATGAACAGCATCAAGTCTCCGCTTTTCCACATTCGATCCCCAGTACTGTTTTCTAGCAGTGATCACTTTTAATAGTTTCTACTTTGAGTTGTTCTGGTGGTTATAGTCATGACTTGAAAGATATCTTTTGATAAGGCGTAAAGCTAGCTGGACCTGCCTTTGCCCAGTTAGCCAAAAGATGGCCACATCAAACTGCACTGTAGACATGCAGGTTAATAGTGTGCTTTGAGAGTAATGTACGATTGGCCTATGGCTATGGTTGGTCTTTCATCCCCAAGCTACTATATACAGCCAGGGAAGCAGCTCTGACCTAGTTGGGTGAGGCAAAGGGTTATCCTGCCAGTGGGAGCATGGCATTTCTGGCAAGAGATTTCTCTTCTAACGGTTGGACTTGGTGCCATGGCAGATTTTCCTGACTCAGGGAGTAAGTGTTGAGCCCTGGTCCAGCTGGTTAGATTATTTGTTGATTTTGATTATCTGCACCAATAAGCTCTTTCGCTGGCATGGATAATCAGAAGCAGGCAGTAATTTTCCATCTTCCTAACAAAAATGCATTTTACACTTTGAAATTACAATAGATGAAGTTTTATTCAGTTTTCACCAAAATACCACTTTATTGAGAAGGGGGAAGTTTTATGAATTGAGAACTCTTTAGAGATAGTCATATATTCTTAGGTGGGTCATTTTTTCTTACCACTTTTCTGTTCTTGAAAGACAAAGGGAAAAATCAGTAATAATGATATTCGCTGTCTTTTATTCAGCTTTTACTGTGTGCTAGGCACTCTGCTAAGAATTCCCAGCCTAATTTAATCTTCACAACAGCTTTAGGAGCTTGTTATCACTCCGATTTTGGAAGGAAGAAACTATATAATAGTCTAATGACTTGTCCAAGGTCACAGAAAAGTGCCAGAGCTGTGTCTGGAGCCCTGATCTGTGTTGGCTGTTAGACCCATGTTCTTTACCTCTGTGTTTGGACGGTCCTGCAATGCAACCCTTGACTTTTTATTCCATGAGAAAAAGAAAGCAACTAATTTATACTTAAAATCTAATTACCAGTGTAAGGTACATACGTTGTTATTGTTGCATAGTGCTTACAAAAATTGTATCTTTTCTTTTTAAAAAAAAGTTTGGAATTTTATACATTTTCTGTTTCTGTCATTCTTTTGTCTTCTCTCAATTCAAAATTCTGGAGTCATCTTTGGTCTTCCGATTCTGCTCCTTTTACTTCCATAAAATCACCATATTCTCTTTGTATTTCTGTTTTAAGTCCCTCCACTCCTCATGTCTGGAATACTGCAATTATCTTTTCATGGTCTTCCTTCTGCCATTCTTTGCCACCGTAAATTGATTGTACACATTGATCCAGTTTTCTCAAGCTCAGCCTCTGTCATATTGCATACCTGTTTAAACCATTAATGTCACCCTATGATCTATAAGAAAAAGGTAGTGTTATTAATCTACAATTAAAGAGCTTTCATGTGATCGAAAGTATCACTCCAGAGCTTTTGTGCCCTCACTTCTTTCTCACTTTTCTTGTTCATGCTAATATATCCCTCATCTGGCTACTGAGGCATGAATTTTCTCTATAACTCAGTTGGTGTTTTTATATGCTTTGCATTTTGATAGTCTTCTTGTGTATATATGTCTCATTTACCCAGATGAATTATTAACTACTGAATTTAGAGATGGGAACTCTGAATTCATCATATTATTTAGTATAGTTTCTTGCATATAGGACTGTGTAAGAAAATTAATGAATTAATTGTTGAAGTTTTAAAGTTAGCATATCTTTCCAATTCTATAGTTCTTTGCTTTTGTTAATTTTATAAAGGTTAAACAATACACATTTAATGCTCTTTATTTATTTTTATCTCTTTAATTATATTTATGAAATTGGGAATATATGGGTTTAACTTTAATAACACAATATTTTAAAGAAACAAGTCAGTTTAACTTAGTATTTCAATTGAAAGATACAGAAAATCTACACTGAATGAAAATGATATAATTATTTCATAGTTTTTCAAATAAACCCATATTTGAGAACTGTACTAAGTTATTATATTGTTGGTTAATGTATGGTTTTGATGGAGATAAGCTAAATATTTATACTGTTATGAATACAAGAAAAAGTGTAAATGGATTATTTAATTTATCCTACATGGTGTATTAAATGCAGTTGGAGGTTGTTCAGGATATTGAATAAGGACATGAGAAAATTTGAAAGTTTATTTAAATACTAAGTTTAAGTCCCTCTACTTACACATAATGTTGTTTTCCAAAAGGAGGTTGCATTTTTTCTGTATCAAATTTGTTTCTTGCTTTCTGCTGAATTTGAAAATATTTCTGCCCTTTCTTTTTTTTTTTTTCTTGTTTTAATAGCCTAAATATTTTTAAAGGTTCATCTTTTATTTTCTTTGACTTAATTTTACAGATGTTCTATTGATAAATAAATATTTCTACTTTAATATATAAATTATTTAAAATTATGGCCTATATAAGGTATTTTTGCTTTGAAATGTTTGAGTTTCAGTAAGATAAGGATAATTTCACCCTGAAACCAAAAAATAAACCTTCATATATTTTCATATTTATTAGTCTTAGAGTGTTCTTGTTGACTTTTAAAATTACAAATTTAAATGGAAATATTATTTTAGCTCAGAAATCTCATACACTCTCAATGCTTAAATTTCTCATGCTGTTTTTTTTCCTGGATTATTTTTTCCAAGTAATATTGAACATCATAATCATGCCATTTTTTACACCTCACAATTTTCTAAAAATCTCTTAAATTATTTATTTTACCTTTAATTTGGGTTTCAAAACACCCAAATGGAGCCATAAATTTATATTTTAGAATAAAAAGTACATACTTGATGTAAATCACTGCATGTGTCTGATTGAATCTCACACAAAAATGTTACATTTTAAAGGTAGTCACATTTTAAGTAAATATTACTTTTTAAAGGGAATAACTCTTAGAGTGAAAGTGCAATTATCCAATTTGACTGCTCTCATTTAATCGTTTCAGTTTTAAAATTAGACTTCATTTTACAATCCAAAATAAAATCTTACTCATGTGCATTTTTGGATGTGCTAATTCCTTTTGTCATAAAATGGAAGCTAGCCTAAATTTTCTAATAATTTTTTATCACATTGAAATTCATGGCAAAAAACTAAAAATGAGCTAATTTTGAATTCAAGTGCATGTATTTTATATGGATGCTTTTCCCCTTCTCTCTACCTAAGGAAATAGAGAAATTGAGACTAGAACTGGGTGAACGCAAACAACACTTGGAACAGGAGCAGCAGAAGGCAGCCCGGGCCAGGGAGGAGTGCCTGAGACTAACAGAACTGCTGGGCGAATCCGAGCACCAACTGCACCTCACCAGGTACTCCCTAATCCCATTATGCGCCATAGCACCGATTTCATTCCACTGATTTTTGCCACAGGCTTCCAAACAGTTGTTAGAGTTAGTCTTAGTCATTCAATTCACACATAGCTTTCAGGCATATTAAGAAAAGTGGAGATGTGGTAAGCAAAACACCCAGACATGTGAATGATAAGTGTGGCAGGGAATTACTGATAGATTACAAAACCTTTCATCTACAATGCTCAAATATTTAGGTGATTCTCTATCAATATAAGCAAAATGACATATTTCTCCTACCACCACTACTACCTCTTCTGCTAATTCTACATCTAATAAAAATCTTGAACTGAAGGATGTGAGGAATTTATTTAGGAAAATAATAAATACTCTCGGTGAGAGAGACAAAGTAAATAAATTGTAAGATGCAAATTGAAATGGAACTGATACGAAATAAGGAATCTGCATCCTAAGGAGGTGTAAAATTTCGAGATGAAATAGATTGGCACTGCTCATGTTCAAATCATTATTATAACCGGGCTTACACCATTGAGGTTTCAGATTACTTTGTTTCCATCATGAGATTTTGTGATGTGATCATCATTGTCATCAACTTTAGTAAATATGTAGCTCGGCCCTAAATTACATTAAGACTCTTTAGGTTGTAAGCATTGTGAATTTGTTGCATTGGAAAAACATACACACACACACACACAAATACACACATAGAAAGAAAAATTCAAACAGAGAGAGTAGATATTTCACTTTATCATATGTGGTTTCTTTTCACTTTGAGTTTTATTACGATTTTTCAGTGTTCACATCAAGCCTTTGGGGTTGCTCAGTTCTTAGAGTTTTTCAGTTTTTAGAGAGAACTTTGTTTAAATAAACATGTAAGTTTATGATATTTGGTTTGGTTTATAAATTAGAAAAACACTGGTCTTCCAATCATAGTAATATGTTGAATTTAAACTATGAAAGGGGACTGATCCCTTTTACATTAAATATGACAATGTAATTCTGAGCACGGTATGCTAACAGATGGAGAAAAGCACCACTTGAACAGCCTGCATTTGGAGAAAAAAATATTCTAGAGGTTGGTGAACCTCCCAAAGTTTTGGGTGAGTGTTAAGATGCCTCTGGTTCTGTTAAAATCAAACCTTGTATGAAACATTTTGTTATGATAATATTCCAAATGATTTTACATCTTCCCTTTTAAACAATAAAAGAAAGAGGAAAGAAAGAGAAAGCAAAGAAAGAAAATACATTATTTATACACGTATGGTATCTAGAAAAAAATCCTAATAGATGAAACATATGAGAAAAAAATTGCTTAATATTGCAGAATAATAACTGTTCTTTTAATGCTCGTTTAAAGTATTGTCATTGTAGAACTGAGAACCTAATGTTAGCATAATTCCTGTGGTTATTTAATCTTACAAGCTTCAGAATTGAGCTTCATCATGGTAATGTTAATAGTTTTTCTCTTCTGTCAGACTTCTATTCAGAACCAACCATTTGTGTGCTAAGCACTGCTAAACCTCAGAACTAGGACGGCTTTTAACGTCTCAGTGTGGCTGAGCTTCAGTAAATAAATATTAATGCTGGTTTTGCCCCTTTTGCCATTCTGTCTTATTCAGAGAGTTAATTTCTGAAGTCAGAGTCCATAGAGAGTTTTCCCGTGTGGTATCAATTTGTAGTGTTTGACAAGATCAATTTCTTGCAAGTAGAGCATATTAAGATGCAACAACTGCTGAAAATGGACGAGTGGTAACTAATTCCTTTGTTCTTAAGAAAAACGGTTTTGCTTGGTTCCATAGAAAGCTTTTTTTTTTGTTGAGCTTTATTTAAACCAATTCTACAAAAATTTAAGCGTAGTTTTACAGGAAATAAAAATTATTTTCTAAGTACGGTACTCTTTTGTAAGCATTTTATGCTGAGTCTGTGTTCATGTTTTATAAAATCCACATTCATAAATTTAAAGATGACAATTAGAAATGCAAGGAACTGTGTATATCTCCCCTTTGCACTGGCAATGTGACTTGGTTGTTGGGCTATTTCTGATATATAGCACTTTTTTGTCTTTTTGTTTTTTGTTTTTTGTTTTTTAAGTTTGCCACCCCTCACCATGCTTTATTGATTCAGTATACTCAGGTGTGTGACTGAGAAATGTTGTGTCGTTCTTTTTCAGTGTAGATCAGCTGAAATACATAACTCCCACAAGATAACACCTTACCACACAGTCTCAACTTAAACACTTCAAATGGCATATTCTAAACAAAGTTTAAAATTGAATATGAAAACCATGTTTAAAGTAATGATGAAATAAGGATCCAAATCTTTAGAGGCAAAGAAAATTCAAAAAGTGTAGTAGAAATCTGTACATCAACCTAAAAGAAAAATAGCCTACCACTTTTTTGGTGTTTCTCCTTATTGGATTTTAAAACAGTAAATGGAGGCCAAGCGCAGTGCTCACACCTGTAATTCTAACACTTTGGGAAGCCAAGACAGGGGAATCACTTGAGGCTAAGAGTTCGAGATCATCCTGAGCAACACAAGGAGACCCCATCTCTACAAAAAACAAAAAATATTAGGCAGGCATGGTGGTGCACCTATAGACCCAGCTATTTAGGAGGCTGAGGATGGAGGATCACTTGAGCCCTGAGGTTCAAGGCTGCTGTGAGCTATGATTGCACCACTCCACTCCAACTTAGGTGACACAGTAAGACCTTGTCTCAAAAAAAAAAAAAAAAAGGAAAATAGAAATTTAGCATTAATTAAAGGACCCAAATGGGTGAGTGTAACATTCACTTAGTCAACAAATATTTATTGAGCACCTACTATACTTTCCTTGGTCCTAGGCATAGAGAGAAAAAATAAAACTCAGTTTCTACCCTTAGATTGCTCATACTCTAGTAAAGAAGCCACATCTGTATATTCAAATATAATGGAGTGTGACAACAGTGCAATGATAAAAGTGATGATTACCACAGGAGCACATAGGGAGGAGGTCTGGCCCAGTCTGCACCAGAGGTGAAGGCAATAGTCAAGGAAAGCTGATATCAGGGAAAGCTGACAGTGAGAAAGGGATAGTCAGGGAGGTGGAGATATTTGGCAGCAATCTTGATTAGTGAGTTCATGAGTAAGAATTCTGAAAGTGGAAAAAGGTGGGTTGGGGACCCCAGGTAGAGAGACCAATAAATACAGAGACGTAAAGATGGGAGAAAACATAACTCTACTATCAGATTAGGTGATTGGTAGGAGATAAGACTGGAAAGGGGAAGCAGGGACCAGCAGAAGAGCCTTAGGGGCCATCTCCGGAGTTTCACCCATTCTCAGTTGCTCTTCATGCATTTTAAGCAGGGGTGTCAACGTGATTGAATTTCTGGGTTGGGAGCTTGACTCAGAGAACAGTGTGGAAAGTGAGCTTTGAGAGTTGATCTAGGAGACAGAAAGACCAGTTAGCCCAAGGTCAGCAATTGCAGCCAGTGGGCCAAGTCTGACCTATCGTCTGTTTTTGTGTGACCATTAACCAAGGATGGTTTTTATATTTTTAAGTGGATGAAAAAAAGGGAAAACTATTTTTTGACACATGAAGATTATACATCCATAAGTAAAATTTTATTAGAAAACGCCACCATTATCCTTCATTTATTATGTATTTCTCTACCACACTTGGGTTGAATATGGTCCTCAAAGCCTAAAATATCTACTATCTGTCCCTTTACAGAAAAAGTGTACCAGCTTCTCAGTTAGGAGGCTGTTAGTTCAAGTAAGAAGTCAAGAGGGCTTGAATAATGACAAGATTCAAATATGTATTTAAAGAAGGTAATTGAAGAGCTTTGGGAAAAATGGATGGGTTGAGAAGAGATGACTGGCAGGGACCCCAATTAGAATATAAGCACCATAGTCCAGGGGGAGAGGAATGAAGCCCTTGGCTATGGCTATCCTGTGAAGTGGAAAGGAAGTCGCATCTTCAGGAGGTATTTGGAGTCATGAATAAGAGAGGACAGAATTAAAGGTGGCTGTAAGTTTTCTAACCCAAGTTGACTAGAGGATCTGTTAAGCCAACTGAGGAACTTACAAGAGGTAGCTGAGGAAAAGAATACTTTTTATTGTGCAACCCCAGTGGAGATGTCCAATGTTGGCTTGGTGTGAGGAGAAAGGTCATGACTAGAGGCTTAGATCTGGATCCCCTTTTACATAAATGTATTCATTGTAGCTAAGGGAGTGGTTAAAAGCACATAGAAAGGACCATGTTTTAAAGTACAATGGAAGAACAGCCACCAGCCAGTAAGACTGAAATGGGGTCTTTGGGTGTATAAGAAAAGAATAAAGAAGAATGATTCAAAGAGTATTTTTTGGGGGGTGGGGGGCGGTAACAATTAAAACCGTATGCTTTCCCAGACAGCCTAGGATTGAAGAAACTTGAATTATAGTATCTTCTCTAGGCATTCACTCCAGGATTTCTTTGCAACTTTTGAGAAATTACTTTAACTCTTTGGGCCTGCTTATGTACCTATAAAATGAGATGGGACTAGATGATTTATAAGTTTCCTTCTAGTTCTGATAATCAATGATTCCAATCATGATTTAAGACAACCCATTATTAACTTCCTATTTCTAGACGTTAGGCATTTAAATTGCTTGGACGATCTTTTGTTTAAGTTATTTTCTTAGTTTGAAGTTTAGAAAGTTCATTGAAATGACCCTCAGACCCACCACTTAAATTCATTGTAACTTAGGTTCTGCTGACCTCTCACAAAGGTTATCAAAATTGTCTCAACACTCTTCCAGTCTCTTTTGCTGACCATTGCCCAGTGAATATTAATGAGCCTCTGCCTTGACTCTGTTACTTACTATACTCTGAAAACCTTCCATGGTGCCGCTCTATTAGAGAAAGGCAAATGACAGCATGGCATGCGAGGTCATCCTGTTAGGCTCTCAACCTTCCAGTCTTATTTCATCCAAGATGAAACCCTCTTACCTGCTGATTTCCAGACAAATGTAAGTACACACAG